GATCTTAAAGGTTTTTTCCAACCTAAACGATTCTATGATTCGCTATACCAGCTGATCAGCACCACAAATTACAGCATCTTGTATCAGTAGCCTAGCCACAAAGGCATAGTGCATGCTCCTGTACATTCACAATTATGTATTGTGCAGCAGTTGCAGCCCCCGAACAAGTAGGCTTTGTGGCAAGACAGTCTATAACACCAAAATTACCTGTGGCAAGACTCTGACTGAAAGAGGGCAACTAATAGAAAACCTCTGACTGATTTAGGGAGTTGTGGAGGGAAATTGTAGATTTCTGCAGATACCAAAATACTTTTTTGCTTTATAACCAGATGGAAAATAGCTCATCCTGACTGAGATCAGAAACAGCATTACAAAAAATGAAATAAAAATCCCACTGTAGCATATGTAAAAAACTTTGTGGACAGCATTTGGACGCTGCAGGGAAAAGAGAGAAATCTTTAACACCTCTTGCCAAATAGAAGGATGAGTGTGAAGACACTTTACCGATATAGAATGACAAAACTGCTGTTTCAGGTTATAGCAAAATTCATCACTAGAGTAAAAACTTAAAAAAAATAGTTGGGTTTTTTTTTCCCCTTGATGAAAAGGCCCTTAAAGCGATGAGCTGAGTGGATGTCTCCCCACCCAGAGAACACTGTAGTAGGCCACCAGTTTCACAATGGACTGAACTGCTCCTGTTCTGTTATTGCAGCAAACCAACTTTTTTTTGGCATGCCTCACTAAACCACCTTCCCTCCCTGGATATGCTCTTGTGCCCACAACCAAATGGGAAGAGACATGTCAGCTTACCCATCTTGGCAGTTCACAGGGAGTAACAAGAAAGCTGAAGACTTGAGGAAGCAGGATCTCCTGTCAGTGTTTGAAGCAACTAGGCTGGATTCCTCCTTAAAGGAGACGACTTGTGCCTCTCTGCTTGCAGAGAGGAGGTTGTGCCATCTGACACCGCATTGACAGGTGGATGCCCCTCCCCACGTCTTTACTCCTACTCACATTCTAGAGATACCTCGGGCAGAAGTAGCTTTTAGCTTCTAGTAAGCGTACAGACATTTCTGTCAGGCTGGAAGATTCCCCTAGCGTGACAAGAAACCAATTGCACTCTACCTTTGCAGTGCTCCAGATAGACATGAAGATGGACGCTGGAAGACAAACAATTACTCTCAGTATAGGGCACAAAGCAGAATTTTTCCAGGGTAGGGGGGATCCGTTCCTGTTGTCGTCGTGGTGCCACAGAAGCATGAAGACCACTGATCTGGACACCTCCCGCTTTAAGGCTATCAAGACAGCGGTCCACAACAATATCGGGGGGGGGGGGGAGGGAAGTAAGTCTGCATCAAACACTACAAGTATTTTATTCAAGGTCATCAGATGACCAGTGCTACGTCAGACTGTTACAGAAGCTACAGAACAGCTTGGAGACTAAGAGGGCCCCCCAAAGTCCATCCTACTTCTCAGGAAGTCATATATTCATCCACAGAGCAATCAAAGCAACTAGCGAAAGCCCAAGCACGAGAGACATTACCTTCTACATTATCCTTGTATTGGCACACCTGCTTTTTATGCAGCACTGGGTCAATACACACTGAGCGAATCCTGGTGGGTAAGCGTAGAGTGCGCGCACTGTCAGTTAAGATCATCATGTGTAGCAGGGTGTCAAGGAAGGTCACCCAGTTCCCATTCCACAGAACTTTCCCTGTGATTGCTGCAGAAGAGGAGGAAGGGGAAGTCTCACCGATTTTGTCATTCAGCAGATGCCAGAAGTCACTGCTTATCAAATGCCCAGTCTGCTGTATGTACTCAGCTTCCCCTGTAAACTCCCAATAGTCAGTTCTATATTAGAGATAACAGCTTTCCGAACGCTCTGTCACAACACTTGGTTGCTCTCCGTTATCACACAAAGTACAATTAGTGCACAAAGCAGAGTCAGGTGGACCGTTAATACAAATGGAATTAAAAGATCAAATACTCATCATTACAATAACCTTGGCTCATCATTCTTCTACAGAAAGTAAATTCACCTTCACTGTCGCATTCCAGAATGCCCTGGAAAGTTGGTCCATAATTATATCCACGCAGATGCAGCTCCTTGTAAATGTCTTCTTTCAAGAGGCCGGTCTTTGAGCTCACGTCTACTTGAGTCTGAAAGTCAGCTAGCTGGTTATGGAAGTTCTTCAGAGCAGTGTTATCTAGGAGGGAAATCCTCCCTGATGGGCACAGTGGCAAGAATAAGAATCATCAGTGTCTATAAGTAATGGATTTTAGTAGGACAATGCATACACTTACACTTCCTTCACTTACCACTCACAGCCAGATTCCCATTCCCTGACACCTCAAAGCAGTGGGAAGCAGGCATGAATCTTACTTCCAGCTGTACTGATCCTGCAAGAAACATTGAAGAAGACAGGACTGTGAGGTCATTCATTGCTACCATGCTCGAGCAGAGCTTTCTCCTTCACAGTCTCCAGACGCACTATGCACAACATGGAATAAAGATGAGCATAACATGTGCTACTTGACTGCATGAATTCACTTTGTTCAGTCATGTTGCACTCCTTATAGTCTTTCTCCTGTGTTCCTCCTCACTTTCCCCTTGCATTTCTTTCCTCCCACTCCCTTCATCTTCATTATGCAGTTTTGCAGTTGTACCAGCACTCCTCACTCACCCTTTTTGGGAACGATAGTTGCCTGATGAATTGTGACTTCTTCAAATGTAACAGCCATTTCCTCCATGACCATGCCAACACACCGTGCCAGAGTTTGCCAAGCCAGTACTAGGTACCCAGTTGCTGGGTACAGGACTCTGCCATCAACGCAGTGATCAACCAAGTAATGATCAGGAGATTCACTACTCGCATCTGTCAAAGAATAAAGAGCAGAATAAAAATAATACAAACACTCTAATAAAGAGGTCTTTTCCCCTCAATGTCTATAAGAGGTTCTAGTGGTTTCCCCAACTATCCTGCCTGGCAACACATAGCTCTTGAAACTACTGAGAGTTTGAATCAAGACAGTTTCCTGCTCTATTCACATTCTTTCATCCCATTTCAAAAGCAGATCCAGTCTTTTTCAACCCAAATCAAACCAAACATTAAGCTTGAGAAGATGGCTTCAAGGATGCTGCTTTGAATATCCTTTTCCTAGTTTTACAAAAGAAATACAGAGGTAAAGCAGGAAAGAGACAAACAAACAACCCCCCCCCCAACAGACAAACACACCAATATTGTAGACCGAAGCAGATGCAGCGCCTCCGGAACCTGATAGAAAGTCTTCAGATTTTGGAACAGTCCAATCCTGGCTGTGGTCCCATTTGATGTATGGAGAAATAAGGGGTGTTCCCGCTGGGACAGGGTATTCCACAGGTGGGAACAAGTTATTTCCAAGAACATTTATCCTAGGAAGACAAAAAGGATCAAGACGCTGTGTGTGTGGAGGGGTGGGAGGGGGAGAAAAAGCTGGGGGAAAACCCTCATTGACCATAATACTTAGAGGTCAGACAGTAATTGGTCTTGGGCTCCACATCTGAGATTTCTCCAGGAGTACCATGAACACTTAGTGCAGCCAATTTTGCAATTCTAACAGTCTACAAGATGCAAAGTGTATTTCCAAGAGCTAGTTCCAGGTTCCTAGGCCTTCTCTTTAAAAGGCACCTTCCGAGCCCAAGCAGTCTCTAACCCAAGGCACCATTTCATAAGTGAACATGTTAAATATGTAAAGCACAGATGTAAACCCCATTTTTTTTTCCAGGTCTGTTGAAGGAGCATTTCAATCCTTGTGAAGATATGCATGCTAGAGAAGAGACTTGAATTCTCTCCTAACCGACACCCCGCTCACCCTCCTCCCTGAGTCTCCTTACCCAGTTAAATGAATCTTTCCAGTCTGTGTTAGGAAGAACTCCAAATTATTTTTGTGCTCTTTCTTCATCAAAGGTATAGTGGTGCAAGTTGGTTTCAAAGTTCTCTTCAAGATAGCCTGGTCAAGCAGAGTCCATAAATCACTGGTGGAAGGCATTACTTACTACTTTGTTCTGAATTTTTGTCTACAGATGTCAAATCACATCTGTTTCTGTGCTAGGTGCTAGAACGTACACCATTTTAAAAGGTAAGAGAAAGAGCAGCACAATACCCTTCCAGCAACCCAAGAAGTCGCACATCTGGTAAAGCGGAACCTATGTAGTATTCATGAAATTCTGCCAAAACACAAATCTCCCTTTCCCAAGCAGATTGTCAAGTGGAATCAAAAGCTGCATTTCAAGAACTGCAAGATCACCCTCTCAAGCCTCCCACTCATGCGTGCACACACACACACACACTCTACACACAGCCTAGGCCCTTACTCCCAGGAGCAGCCCTTTTTAGTCTGAAGCATCCTAGAGCATTTTCCAAGTGACAGCTATTAAATGAAACAGTGCCTTGAACATCTGACCCAGCTTGTATTTCCTCTGCAATCTGATCTCACAGTCTTTAAATGGGGGAAGGAAGTGGGGGGGGGGAAAGAGGAAACCAGAACACTCTCAAACCCAGCTGATGAAGTCTTTAGGCACTTGCATTAGAGACCAGAATTGTACAATGATTTTAACATGAAGTGTAAAATCTTTTTATAGATTTAAAATTTAATTTAATTTAAAATTTAAAAGCTCTGCTCTGATTCTCCCTTCAAGTCACTTTCAAAGCATAAATAAGACTAACATGACATAATAAATATACACCAGATTGGAACTCAGAAGCACTGTGTAACTATTAAACTTGATTCACAAGTAACTATGATTCTTCCTAAGACTTTTCTCCTCTTGCATGCCACAGACCAAATAAAAAAGACCAGTCCTTGAGACTTAGGGGACAGGCACAAGACCACAGCACTGATCTTGTGGAGTAAACGCATCCTAATATACCTCATGTTCTGCATTCTCTACTAAGGAGCTAATTCCACAAAGATCAATTCTCACAGGGTGGGGAGAAAGGAATAATGATCTGATCATCAGGGGAAAGGAGTTTATGAAGAGAGAAAGCTCCTGTGGTCTCAGACTACTTGGTCTAGGAGAAGAGGGGAAAACACGACTACCAGCCATCGCCTTTTAAAGACAAGAACCTCAAGCCAAATTCAGTGTACGGATGGTGATAACAAATTTTCCATAGGGAAGGCTTGTT